GTGCACCTGACATCACTAAAGGGTCACACATAATATTCATTGAATGTTTCGCTACATTATGCTTTATGGACTGCTGAGACATGCAACAGGAGATGGTCAAAGATGACAGACATGCTACAAGAGATATTCCAAGAGTGTAGACATGGTGCAGAAGATGGTCAAAGACTGCAGACATGCTATACGAGTTGTTGGTGTTCTGGGAACATACTTTAAGAGACAGTCATAGACTGGGACACATTACATGTTTGAGACTGCTAGAGATCACTGCTGTTACAGGGCCTCACAGACTAATGTCTTCAAGTGTCCTGGGGGCCACATAAAAAGTGATGCATGCAGCCCCTGGGCCGCAGGTTGGCACCAGATATATAGACTGTAAGATTTGGCCATCTTTATAAAAGAATACCAGTGAGATTCCTTAGGCTCTTTTCACACAAGTGATAGAATGGGGATGTTGACACGCATTTCTGACTGGGTGTCAAAAAGAGTATATCATTGCCTTGCATTACATTGGATTGCATCTCTTCTTCCCATGCAGGGAAAGTGATTGGTCTGTACACCAATAACAAAGGTGCTTTATGTTCTTGTGCAAGTCCTTACATTTGATTGGTTGCCCTGGGAATTTGTGAAGTTTTGTAAATCAGCCCATGTGTTGACATCATCAGCTGATTTCTTAACTCAAATTCAAATAAAAGGAAAACATGATAAAGTGCACCTGTCATGAGATAAAAATGAGGGCTGTCATTACACTATTGACTTCTTCCTATTCGATTCTGGCTTCAATATTTGCAAGTCACAGATCAAGGACGAATTGCAGCAAATGAAAACAGTAGAAAAGTAAAAATCCCTCTATACTTGTTCCAGCTGAGTGACTTAGAAATATTAATACCAAAGAAGTAGTGTTGCAGCCTGGTAATTAGCATTCTCAGAAGAAGAGGCCAGCAGTGGCAGGCTCTATAATTCTCTCATGACAGATAAGTCTCAATACTTTCATTCCTGGATCTCTATCAGCACTGTTGGTCATTCCAGCATGGAAAGCATGGGAACGGTCATTATTTTATTTTTTAAAATACTCTGTTATTACTACCATCCAATACATTTACAGTAATTTGATGTCAGGAGAAGTATGTTTACAAGTTTAAAAAAGTCTGGACTGATAAAGTATCACTGAAATGAGCATGTGAAATGGTGAATGTTCATAAAAAATTCAGGAGCAGTTAATACCTTTCTCTGAACACAAGGATTTTTAGTCCCCATCCTTTGCAATGGTTAATTTTGGTTAGCAGACATCTCCTTCCCTTCTCTCCCGCCCCTCCCCTCCTCCATCAGCTCGCAGGGTGCACACAGATCTTACTAACACCCCCCTGCTGTTTGCACGCAGTCATTGCATCCAGCAGATTCTTGAAGCAGTCCTCCACTGCCACCAAATGGGGGTTGTCCACAGGGACCTCAAGGTGAGTTTTGTATCCCCGCCCATACCATCTCTTTTACATGTGCATGTCAGGCTGGACATCATCCCATCTCTCCACCCTATGCAAGCCTGCTGTTGGTTTGTTGCCTGCATGCTGGTGGTGAGTTGTCTCTGGCTTTCTTTGTTGATGGTGGAATAGTTGTGGTTATCATGGCATGTGAAGGTTTGGACTGGGAAAGCAGCTTAATTTGGGGGTGCATGGCATGTCGAGGGCAATGATCTTTACTTTGTGTTATTCTGCGTGGTTTATTGCCCAACGTATATACATATATGTTTATTATATGTACTCAGTGGTTCAAGGATCAATTTCACCATTATACCAGTCTTCTCCATCCTTTCAGAATTTCCCCTGCTCAGCAACAGTATGCTCACCATCTCTCAAAACCTACTTGTCTCTGCCATCTGTTGTGCCATCCAGTCTTGGCAGTATAAAGGAGGTGCTAGTCACAGAGCTAGTTATCTGATTATCTGGGTAGGAGAA